TTTTTTTTGGCTACCAATACTCTGTATGGGATGCACACTGCTGTGTTATTCAAGTGCAGAGTATAGGACAGGTACAAGGTAGAAACTGACCACGAATGATATGTAAAACAGGAAATGCTGCACATCACTCACTGACCTCGGAAAGTGGCTGTTATGTAGGGTACATGACGTTCTGTTTCGCCGACCTTTGCTCGAATCGAAATCGTGCAACGCGTACCCTCTATTTTGTGTTTGTCATCTTACTTCACCGTCCATTTGTTTCAATTATTGTTACTATTTAAGCAACTTTACCTACTTTTTTTATATATTGCGTAAGTTATACCTAGTTTCTCCCAGCTGTGTGGCATGTGCTTGACGATTTTTTTTACTCGAGTCGATAACGTGTACGTTGTAATACACTATTTTGTTATTTTTTGTAGGATGCATGTGTCATTACTGGTTGCTCAATAAACGCCAATTTTGCTTTCTCTGTAACCGCCAGGTTGACAAGTATCTTTCGTTGGAAATACGATGCCCATTTTAGGTGCTAACGTGTAGTGCCCAACATATTCATTTTCTTGCTTACCATGGTAATACAGCTGATCCGTGCAAAAATGCTTGTTGTTGTTAATTCTTGCCGATGGCCAGATCAAACTTAAATAGAAATAGATTATACAAGGTAGAAGGGGCTATCGGAGAGACTGTTATAACGATGAGAAAATCCATGTCAAATTTTAACTCCACCAGGAACGCAATATCCATAAACTAAATTTAACGTCAATACTACCCCATTAATATATTCTCGTTAAGGTCACAATAGTCTCGCAGTCATTCAGAAGTGTCAGCTTGTAAGACCTAGTCAAAAAAAGTAGTGATTACACGGAGCACAAAAAGCTTTGGACTTTATCACAAGAAAGTTTTCCGTTCTAAAAATTAAATTCTTTGGTGAGACGGCGTTGAATTCTTCAAAAAAATGGAAAAAAGAAGAAGTGGTTTCAGCCGGGCTCGAACCGGCGACCTTCTGCGTGTAAGGCAGACGCGATAACCAACTACGCCACGAAACCTTCTTCACATTCATTGGAACTAAAATTCTCCCCAAATAGTCTATCATTGGGTATTTTTTTTCACCTTATCACATGCTTTTTTTTCGTTTGAACTTGTAAATGATTTACCCTGCTGCCCCTTACATAACTTTGCTACGCATTCTCTGCCTTCCCAATCATGGTTAATGAATTAGGTTACAAGGGATTATTGTTGTGGACGGTAAATGAGATATCTGGAAATTATTACTTTTCGTTTGAAAATGAATATTGTGAATGTAAATTGCCTAGAGGAACATTGGTCTCCCAATGCTCCCTCACTGCAGTTCAGCTATAATTATGTACGATGTATAGTACACTAGTAAAGTTGTGTGATAATGAAATATTTTCAGGCCACCTGCTTCCACACAAGTACTCAAGTAAAAGTTTATGACATGCACACTAGCGTTTTTAGCCAAGGTGTGATACCAGATACAACAGATCGCCTGGGAACATTACTGGGGTGCATAACAAAGGATATATCAGTGACGAAATTGGAAGTTATTACTGATGGAGGGGTACAGGATGCTGTTGAGATGAGAGATGTTGTAGTACACAGGACCACTGCATGATGTAAGTCACAAAACATGATATTAAGACGTTGGGCTGCAAAGCGTATTAGGAACCTTCTCCATCAGCCATAAAGCGGCACCTTGAACTTCCCCATAGCTGTAAGTTCAGAATACTATTAAAAAGCGGCATAAGGACTCTAGGGAGATAACTGCATAAGACCATATGTCTGTGAATGCAGTACCTCAGGCTTTGGATCACTCCAGCGTGATTATATGTTCAAATTATAACGACAATCGTGATGAGAAGGAATAGACATTATGAACTCAACATGCACCACTCTACAGTAACCTGGCGGCCTTACGATAAATGGGATTTCATGACGTATATAATATCCACCGACTTTATATGAATTCCCATGAAAGGCTTATGCATAGGGTATGTGGTTAGGTGGATAGAAACGCGGCCTAGGCTGAAATAATGGTTATCTAAAGCCACGCACCATCTCATAGGTCACGTACTATTTGTAACCTTGTATTGAGGGTCTTGGTGTATGAATGCTTACAGTACCACCTTACGCTCTAGACTTTATCCCCCGTACAACGTGATCTGGTTAGCCAGCAACACTCCAAACTAAACTCTTGCCGCTTGCCATTGTGAAACTTGACACTATGGTATCTCACCTTAGCATTCCCCAGAAAACTTAAAAAGTGACTATATTTTTTTATTATACCATACCATACCACAACCCTTACCTCCACAATTCATTATAAACGTTGTCAAGGAAAAGTCACGTACATATTGTATACCATCTTACCTCGCAACATTCTGCACATTATGGACTTTACAATCCAATTCTTTCTTCATGGTAACTAGTATCACACTTATCAACGTAAATAATTGCGCTCCATGTAAAGTATCACCATCATCACGAATTACCTCAGAGCACGAAGGACCCTAAGAGACGCATTATTCTAGTCAGCGCGACTATGTTGTACATCTAGGTATACCTCGTACAAAGAACCACAATTTTATACGGAATGTCGATGGTCAAATGAGCTGGCTTTGAATTTTAGGAATGAATATACCTGTAGACTAATCCCTGTTAGTCTATATTGTTGACGCAGCATGGTAATATCAGGTGTTGGTCTAAGTTGTCAACTCTTCACCAGAGTACATTGTTGCACTTTTCATCACTATACAATCGCATTTGAGGATGTATTGATTAAGATGCCTGTAGCCTAGGTATAAAAACAACAACCGTCATATGTCTCGCATGTAGCTGTTTTCATCCTTTCCTTTTACTTAACTGCTTTGACCTTCTGTCCTCAGTTCCCTTTTTTTTACTCTTACTTTCCAAGCCCCTATATCCTCTTCGACTTACGTGCGTTGTTTTCCTTGGGTTATCTGCTCATGCACATTTGTTGTCATTCTCTTTAACCGTTTACTTTAGCCTTTTGACAACATTTTCTATTACGAGCGCTGTATAACCAGCTACGAACAGCCGTCAAACTGAACCGGGATTTAACGAACTATGCGGGAATCTTGGCGCAACGAAAAACCCGACATCCACTCACTTTTTGATAGATTTAACCGGCAAGCCTTTCAGGGCTGCTTAAGCAAAATCAAGTTGGAGTGGTCATATGACTTACCTGGTACTATAGCCGGACAATTTATTCATGGGGATGCATACAGTCCTGGAAAAATTGAACTGAATGCAAATGTTCTCAGGAACGGGCCCGTTAACGAGATATCTGATGTACTTCTTCACGAGATGATCCACGCGTATATAAACTACCAAGGAAGAAGCAACAGGAACGACCACCATGGACAAGATTTTCAAGCCGAGATGCATCGCGTTAATGGAACACTCGGTAGCAACGTAAGAACTACCTACGATCCCACCCTTTATCGCCATAATTCCTCATTCCAAGGCTCGTGGGGCCAATCCACAGGGTGGGAACCTAGCCCTCGTAGCCGCGGTTCTAGTCCAAAAAGTAGCAGCCCGGATGACTGGTGGGAGTCCAAGAACAAGTGGTCCATTTTTGAAAATGAGGATCCTTGGGATGGAAAAATGAAATGGACTCCTAGCGCCCCCAGCCATGAATTTAGGGGTTGGAGTAACAGTGGTAACAGTGCTAGCAGTAGTTCGACTTACAATGATGATTCTAGTCGCCGCCCGACGTCCTCCACCATAGGATGCCATTGGTGCGGGGCACGAATTCCCCGGGATGATTATTGGTCTCATTTGGATCACTGTGTGCCCTGACGTGGCTGGTTCATGTAAGATTTTGCTTGTTCGAGAAGCCCTACCACCACATGATCCGATTACCATGTGGTTTTGGCAGCGTTGTGTTTACATTTATTAAAAGTTTTGTAATAGCCAGGAACAGTTGTATCATAGTTGACCTTTGGTAGGTCATAATAAACAATGGTAGTTTCCCATCGTTATAAAATTATATTGCTTGCCAAAGGTATTTCAGTATTATTCTTTTCGGCGCTCGTCCATGGCGAAATATCTGTTGTCCGCTGACAATTGCTGCCGTTACCTTTTCCATGACGTTTAACTATCCCTACAAAATAAACTATTAATACGTAGATAAAGTATGGCTCTCCCTTGTAAAAACCATAATTTATTGATAATAATTACCATTGTTCTTACATACTATGCAAGCCCTATTGAACCACTCATCGAAACATCCATGCAAGTCATCTCGTTGTAGAGATCCAAGGACTTCATTATAAATCCCTATAATTTCGTCAACAATTTCAGACATTTTACTCTCCCGCTTTTTCTTGGTACGTGGGAACAACCAAAATCCATAGGGTGTAAGCTCACGGGAGTAGGGTGGTGCTTCAAGCAGTTCAAGTCCAAGAGCTTCAATGTGGGCCTTGTTATAGGGAGAAATATGAGGTGGCGTAATGCTTTGATAGAGAACGATATGGGAAGAGGTTGAGTTTGGGTTACTCCTCTGCCATTTCTCAACCATTGGTTTGGCACAATTATCAGTGTAATAGGAACTGGTGACGCTAGTGTTTTACACGATATGAACAATACCAGTTCCACTGAAGAATACAGTCAGCGTAAACTTTTGTGACTTCGAGGCCCGCAGTGGTTGAACAGTGGTACACTCGCATTGACCATGATGTTTTGAAACCATACTTTTCGACCAGTGTCAGTTCTGGAATTTTTAAGATAAACCCAAGCTTCATCACATATTACCATATTATTTATAATTGAGTTGGTTTGTTTCCAGAAACGGTCAAGGAAATCGCGGCAAAAGTTTTGATGGTCCTCCCAGAGCTCTGATGTCAGGACATGGGTAGTCAAGTGATTAAAAAGTAAACAATATTTCAGCTGGTTGTGGAGGGCATTCCAAACTGCCCAGGCGGTAGACTTTGCCTCTTGTGCAAGCATTTTCAGGGTCACAAATGGGTCTAGCTTTACTCGCCACTCAACGGTGTGGCCTTGAAGTTCGTAGGTCTCGTAGGAAATTCATTTTGCGTTGCGCTCATCTTCAAAAACAAATGACCAGTCTTAAAGTTGTTGTACCAGCGGCACACTGTGTATTTGGAAGGACACCCTGTTGTATAAACACGCTCCAAACTTTTGTGGATTTGGATTGGGCGTTGACCAAGTTTAAAAAGTAACCAAATATGGGCCCGAGTTATAGTTCGGATAATGGCGGGTAGGTGGTCTTGTGACTCGTAATTTTGACAAGGTAAATGTCTTTTAAATAATCATAACTCAACGAAAACAAAAGGTATAAAGGTAAAAGCAAGGCAGGTGAGGTTATGTAAACAAGGGGAAATGTAGAACAATAATGATTCGCTCCTGAGTCAAACTTATCCTGGTGTACGATATATCATACCTCAACCCTTACCGTTATAGTTCATTATAGACTTTGTCAAAAAGTCACGCACATACTGCATACCATCTTACCTCGCAACACCCTGAACTTTGTGAGCTTTAAAATCCAAATCTTTCTTCATGGTAACTAGTGCCATACTTGTCAACGCAAATATGTAAAGTGTCACCACCATCACGAATTACCTCAGAGCACGAAAGGCCCTAGGAGAAGCATTACTCCGGCACGACTGTGTTGTACATCTAGGTTTACCTCGTGCAAAGAATAATAATTTCATACGGAATGCCGGTGGTAAAACGAGCTGGATTTGAATTTCAGGAATGAATATATCTGTGGGCTAGTTCCTGTTAGTCTATATTATAGACACAGCATGGTAACGTCAGGTGTTGGTCACAGTTGTCAACTCTTCACCAGAGTACATTGTTGCTCTTTTCATCACTATACAATTGCATTTGAGGATGCATTGATTAAGATGTCTGGAGTCTAAGTATAAAGAGAGCAAATGACATATGTCTCGCGTGTAGTCGTTTTCATCCTTTCCCTTTACTTGACTGCTTTGATCTTCTGTCCTCAGTTCCCTTTTTTTACTCTTACTTTCCAAGTCTC